TATATATATATATATACACGTATATATACTTCTAAAAGTCGTGTATCATGCATAGGAACGTTGACGCCTGCAAGGCTCTGGTTTTATTTTGTTCTTATTTTTACACTCTTTTCAAAGATCGAAAATTATTTTGCAGCAGTATATTACTGTACTGTACTATAATATTACATAGTCACACCTACCGCACATAAGGTACAGATAAAATTTGTTGGTTTTTCTAATAAAAAAAAAAATCTCAGTTGACATTTTACCCTAGCCTCAACTTGTTCTTATTTTGTTCATAATTTTTAAGCAATTTTAGCCTCAGTGTTCTTATAAAATGTGTTCTTATAAAAAAGTGTAATCTATTGTCCTCGCCGCATCTCTCAAGTGCTGTATATATATAAAAGGGTTAAAGGTGGAGACAATGGGTGGCAAAATGGTTGACTGTTGGGACGATGAGTGCCCCTATCGATGACCAGCTCCGTGTTCCTCTTGACCCAGAAGCGTAGTTTCTATCATGTTTGGGATTTTGTTTTATTTTACTGCATTACCAAGTTCTTGCTACACTACACGGCGACAACTGAAGCCTACATAATCTCACTGTAAAAAAACCATCAATGTGGTGTACACCAAGAAGAAAACTTTAAGTGTTCTATACAGTAGGTGCTTGATCCAATGCCCGGGGTAATTAATTTAAAGTGTAAAGCTCATAGAGGCCTTGTTGGCATAATGTGCAATATATTGCACACGTGATCAATGGTTAACGTCTCATCCAATGAGAACATGCATTTCAGCCCTTTGTATGAGAATGCAAGGAGAGCGGCGATGGAATTGAACCAGGAACCAAAGGTCTTCACGGTTCAGCGCACACAGTGGCTGAGGAGCTGTTAGCAGTTCAGCCGACTGAACTACAAAAAGTGCTTACTGTACACGTAGAGAAATTCTTCTACTTCACTGTAAAAACAGCGTGGCGCATTTAAACACAAAGCTCCACGCAATGTTGCTAAAAATGCTAAACACGTCAAGATCCTAGATATATTAAGCTATGTCTAAACACGTTTAGCTTTTCAACGTGTCACCAAAAACGGGACAACATTGCGTGGAGCTTTGTGTTTAAATGATCCACGCTGTTTTTACAGTGTAGTACGGTACTGTACTTTTGATTGCAAAAACACAGGCCCTATGCCTACATTTGTGCTTTTACCGCTCCATGCTGCTTCGGAGTGTAATCAAAATGTAGAGGAATTTGTTTAAACTAAACTAATTTTAAGTGTTGAGGAATGGAGGAAGTAAACTAAGCTAAATGTGTTCATGTTCAACTTCTTTTTTGGCATTCGTTCAGTTAACGCTATTTTGTGGAGTAGAGCTTGGTTCACGTCGAACTTTTATCTAGATATACATCTACTTAACTAGTTAAAAGTTCGACGTGAACCACTCAATTATAGCTAGTTAAAGGAATTAAGTCACTTAAGTTAAGTGACTTAACTTTACTAGAATAACGGTAAATTAACTTGCTTAACGGTAAAGTCGGCTCGGATTACAAGGACACGATTACGTAACGTAGGTATCTAAGCCAGCTTTGTTGTATTCTACCACCATTATCATCTTCTGGCTGGCAACAACGTACTTCAACAATGCTAACAACAGCATCGAAGTAGTCTCATTAGTCTGGTTTTCAGAAATTATTTGTAATATTTTGGGTAAACACCCAGCAAACGTCCGTTTACGAATAGTCGATATTACCAATGACCTTTGGCCCTTGCATCATCGACCAAGTAATAACGTTAAAAAGTCCGATTGCGCACGTTTTTCAAAGTGATAATGTATATTTTTCTTAATAATAAAATCAGATTTGTTGTATTTATTTATTGACAATTCAATCTTTTCTATTTCTGCTATAATAGTCGCTATTAATTCAATTTCAATGAACTACCACCAACGCCAGTAGTTAAAATGAGCGCACATGTTTACGATGACGAAATAAAAAAGTGTGTGGAAGTCAGCAACTTGTTTGACACCGCGAAGCTAGATTTTCGCGAAGTGCATGTAAACAACACAATTGAGCGATCTAAAAACTACAAAACAGGACAGGAGTTTACTACTACTTAGATTGCGATAGAACACGCTGCTGCACTGGTCGTTGGTTCATACTGGTCGGCTAGGTTAGGTAGTGGAAACTCACACCTTCTCTACAGTAGTTTACAATTTTTTTTGAACGAATACCACTTGGTACTAGAGGTTCGTAAAATACAGTAGGTGTTTTATTAAACAAGCCTTTCGACCGTGTGACGTCGACGGCCTGAAACTGGCTGGCTGTTTATCTGGCTCTAACTTGGCATCGAACGCAATTAGGGGATCATGTTTCAAGACGGGTATATCTAGATAAAGTTCGACGTGAACCAGGCTTAGCTCTGCAAATATTTCAGGGTCGATATCATTTATCGCAGTACTTTTTAATGACTTAATCGTATTGTACTTTGTTGTGAAATGTACTTTCCGAAAGGCCCACTGATTAATCTCAGATAAGATAGTATAATACATATTCCAAGTATCGAAATGCACGCCATCGTGTCGGGATTCAATATTTCGACATTAGTTATGTCATCACATAAAATTAAATGTACTTGGATTCTAATCTTTTTTAATCTCTGGTAAATATAACATATTGTAGTAGGCATACAGTAAAAAATGTTTTTTCCGAGTCGTTACTTCCGACTTTCCCTTTAAATTACTGTATATCACTTTCCATTATTCATACGTATCATCTTTTATTTTTACTTTTTTTTTGTTTTTTTATTTCTTCATTTTACATCCCTATTTCTTATTAAGTCTCAATTCTTACTGTAAGTTATGCTCTTTTGTACGCCTCTCTCGTTTCTGAAATCTGAGGTTACACCTCCTCATCGAGTATTACCAGGTTGCTCGAAAGACGACCATTGTGTACAATTTGATTTGAACCGTGATACAGTTAGGCATAGCCAATGCTATATCTGCAGGTGTGAGAAATACTTCATTTATTTGTAATGCCATATTTGCCAATATTGATTACTGACTGAGAGAATTCGTCTTAAAACCTTGATATAGATAGACCCTATATCATATTATGATTAATATTATTATTGTACAGTATTAACCTACCAAATTAAATGAGGGGATTACTCCATACCATAAAAATTTCATATTAAATTTCATATAAATCGGGTCTTCATATAGAAAGGGAATGAACCAATATGAAATTTTGATTCTTTGAATCGTCCTTGACCCGATTGGAATATTATGTACTCTGCATCTATTTTGGCGGTTCTGATTGGTCAGTATTGTATTAATATAGGTTAACGATAGGCAACCCGCGATTTTGCTATTACTACCGCGTTTTTTTTTACCAGCATCATCGCCATTATCATCATCTTCGTCGTTATCATCATCATCATTGTCGACATCATCATCATCATCATCGTCATCTTAAGATAAGAACTCAACTACATTACGTGGTGTACTGCAAACATTACTAAGCCTATATTATTACTTCACCATGTAAACCTTCAAACAATAATGCTTTTCTTATTTTGTAAGTCAATACAGTATTATTTTCAAGGAGCTATTATACTACTATAAGGAAAATCAATCATTGAAGATCCTCTGAACTCTGTATTCAGACAGGGTATGTTGGTTCATAGTCCTACGCATGCGTGTTTACTATTGGCTCAATCGTGCTCTATTTTCTTTTCCTGAGTTTCTATTTATTTACATATTTTGGGGGCCGACAAGTTGTAAGATTTTACCGTGCCTAGACAGCTTACAAACAATATCAATGCATTTAATCCAGTAAACCGCAATAGGTAGCCCTACGTTCAACCCGGTGTTGTTTTCTTATTTGATCCATGCATGCATTTATTTATTGTTATTGAAGAGTTCTTAATTGTTATGTTGATAACTTTCAGAACATAAATAAATCTTTATGTTTTCTTTATTATAGCTTTACCGGGTGCCCAGAACCGACAAAAAACAAAAAACAACAGGATATACAGTAGTAACGAATAATAAAGACTTAAGTCCAAGGTGAACTTCAAAATAGTTGGCCTATTCAAACTTCAAAGCTACGGAAATTGTAGAGATTTTCGAGTACAAAATCAGTAACTGATGCCATTGGTTCAACATTGGTCAACGCACGTTACCGGTAGTGCAACAGTATCCAATTTCGTGACCGTATCGTCAAGAAGTTTAGGCAATTGTCTTTGAAAAAAACATTGTAAAGAAAATCTACGCATGAACATGGCAACAACGAATGTAACAGGCCGCAATTCGACGGCGTTAGCGAAGTGTACAATGCCTGATATCTACGAGAGCGATGTCGCAGACAATCCCGTCGCTCTGAAAGCAATTTTCATTTCGCTCGTTATCATTTGTGTTTTGATCGTTGTTGGCAACACGTTTGTAGTTGCGACGTTTCTTCATTACCGAAAGCTTCGTCGCCCACGAAATATATTTGTATTTAACTTAGCTTTGACGGATCTCTCGGCAGGGTTGATGATGCCTATTCAGGTCCTAGTCGGTGCATCAGTAACTGATGCCATTGGTTCAACATTTGTTGTAATTTCTCTTTTAACTGTTCTTGCAATAGCTATGGAGAGATTCATCATTATTGTGTGGGCGCCAACTAAACACAGAGATATCGTTACAAAGCGGGGAATAATCACCACATGCGTGTGTTTTTGGGTGTTTCCTCTTGCTGTTATTGTGCCATTTTCATCATACACAGAGGCATATATTCTCATCGTATTAAATCTAGGACCATGGCTTATGATATTTGTGTCGATTGGTGTCGTCATACTCTATGGTGCCATTTTTTTGAAGATCAGACGTCATGAACGACGAATGCGTGGAAAATCTGGAAGCAAGCGAAATGAGTTGCGCGAAGCAGAGCGTGTTGTCAAGGCATTCGCGCTAATTGTTGCACTTTTCTCCACCTGTTGGTTACCATGGGCAGTCGAAGTTCTTCGCATAAACTTCTCGCTTTATATCATCACTCACGAAGCAAGATGCTTCCGGGGGACCGTGGCTTTTTACGTCTGTTTGTGTATTGGTCTTCTTAACTCCGCTCTCAATCCCTTAGCATACTGGTGGCGATTACCAGACTTCAGGCAAGGAGTTACTAAGCTTATTCACACTGCTCTGCCCTGCTATGAGACACCAGAGCCATTCGGATCGCATTCACAGAGAAGCGATAAGTTTCCAGACTCTAGTCGGAGAGAAGATGGACTTCTAAACGTTAGTAAAAACGTTTCCCATGCTAGATCTACTGCTGGACCATCACACGTTGTCATCATAAATAACGCTCCAGTTGGTGTGGATAACGTTGCTCAACGTTGAGCGCATTATGTCAACATCATGGTTGCTGTTCAGTTTCGCAGAGAACGGCAGGTGACACGCCGATGTCGAAAGGCTTCTCTTGGAATGGAACTTAAACTTCATTAGCTCAAGCCAGCTTCCAAATAACGTCCATATGAACGAAACTCGATAAACCGTATGAAGTCAATGCTTAATAGGAATGACTCCGAAAAAAGTGGAGAAAAGAGTAGCCATTTGAAAGTAGAACAGTTGAATCTAATGACAGAAGAGAAGAAATTGACAAGAGCCACCGTTGAAGCTAATGGCACTTGTGAAGAAAAGAAATTGAAAGAACATGATGAAAAGAAAATTACAGTAACTGCTTATGTTTGATGCAGGTATTTGTTTATTACTGGCAGTGAAACAGTTTGGTCTTACTATTATTGTATTAATGCATTTAAATAATTTGAAGGTGAAAAACTCCTATAACATAACTTTATGCTATTTTTTTCAATTTACGATAAATTTAATTTTTGTTTACTACACTTCTTACTCGATTTTCCATACATTTTTATGTGCTTTGACTAACATGTATTAACTTTAAATTATCAGTTTAGACTCTGACGCATCGCATTTGTCATGATGGATTATGCATTTTACTGCCCAGTCATCTTAATGTTCTTTGTGCACCATTCTTGATTTTCTTTGTAAGGCATTGGAATTACAAAATCAATACTAGAACATTAATAATCACTATTTTTTGGAATAATTGATATTAATAATAACTGAGGTGACTATCAAATTCGACAAGTGAAGTTTGTACAGTAGATGTTAAGGTTACATCACGATGAATGACACATCTGATCATATGCTGATCATTGTTTAGCATTAAGAACATTATATTGATTGAAGCATCGTACGTTTTGGCGATAGGCTTAAACCATCCTAATCAATGTACCTCATTTCATTGACAAGTCACTTGATTCAAACGAATACTAATGAGCAACGTGTCTTTCACAACCAATCATGGGTAATACTTATTGAAGAACAATTATATGGTATTACTGTACATTGATAGATTTTCGATATTTTTTATTTCCCGCAATATTTAGATTGTTCGAAATTGTGAATTAGATGGTCGTTATTTTATTATCTGATCTCTGATATTAACATATACATATAATAGGCATAATAAATAGTTCATAAACAATTGACAGGCCCATGTCTTTTGATGATGGACACTATACCGAAACCATTTCCCCTTCCGAGCCGGTAGTGCCTACAATTGAATGAGCAATTATACTAAATGAAGCAGCTGAGGCCTACGTAAAATAATAGCACTGTACTATAGTAGTATAAATCGTTGCCAACTACAAAGAATGTTGTTAACAAAATCAGTATAGGCATATTAGAAAGTATACGCATAGACCTACATAAGAAATTATCCTATTTTTTACATGACTTAACTTGTTTACAATTCAGTAAGGTATTATTAGGGTAAACTGACTTTAACAATGAAAAATAGAAGTTGAAGAAAACGAATTACTTACGGTATAGGCCTACTTTAAAAATTCGACGATTGGAGAAAACATTACTTGTTGTTTTGATATCTTTTCCAAAAAGTAAACTATATTGTTCTTTATCAGTAGTGATTTATTATGTGTATAGATTAGAAATGTATAGCAGGTTAAATTAGTGGTACCGGTAGTCTATTGACAAATTGTTATGTGGTTGTTATGCTGTTGTTAACGTCTTCTAATAAAACATGTGATTGTCATTGACAGGGTACGGTACTGGAAAGTACAGACAAACTATTAAACGTCTAGAAGTATATAAAGAAAACCTCAGGAACAATACAGTATTAATTTGTCATATTCTAATGTACCGGTAAATGCACAATTTTTGCTTATACAGTGTACGTTAAAATCTGCCAAATTTAGTAAATCTGCCCGATACAGTATATAATCGTGTATAGGCCTATCTATACTATAGTAATAGGCTTATATATTATCGTTGCTTTGGATATTTGTACGGCTGGCGGAGGAATAGGCATAGGCCTAATTAAAAATTATGGATAGCATCGGAGAAAGAAATGACTCAGACGAATCATTTCCATAGGGTGTGCCCCATTTTCATTTATAATGATGAATGAATTCCAGGAGGGCGTGCCCAGTTTTCGTTTATATGATGAATGAATGATTTCTTCTGAACAATGTGAATCAACTGCCTAACCAATCATTCCATTTTATATATAAATCGATATTTACTCGTAAAATAATTGTTATACGTATGAATTCATTTTACATTATTATTGCCTTTGAGCGCTTGGTGTAGATATTTTTACGACGATTTTTATGTAGGTCATATTGTTATCGAGTGAATTTTCTAGAGGTCTTGCATTCCAACGTAACTTTCAACATCTTTACTAGGTAAATCAATATTAATATAAAAGTACCCATATAAACTGAACCAAACCATCGCACCCGGTTACCGTGTCTAGACTCGCATTCATTGTCGTATCCCTAAGCAGAGAATACGGCAACAGGGTACCATGGTATACGCATCATTGTTACGTGTTGTGCTGTAATAGTTTGCCGCAAATTTTTGTAGACTTGTTTTTGAAATAAATTTTGCAATAGCAACAGCCTGTGAGCTATGCTTTTTCTTTGTGTCCATGCTACAACGTCTGACTGATAATGCTTTGATATTTGAACACAACGAAAAACTGTCTGCCTAAAAATTAAAAGTAAAAAAGTTGTGTTATTACGTCGATTTGATCAATACATTAGTCAACAGAAGGTGGACCTGTTGTCGATTCCCAACCCAACATTACATCACTCTAAACGAAGTAGGGCCTACTCCTTGGGTCGCTTGATATATGATGTCAGTTAGTTGGACGACATCGTCTCGTTGGCGATATGACACGAGGCCTATAGATCCCGAAACATTAACATCAACTGCATAAGGAACATTGATGTAAACATGTCTTGATCATTGGTATATCAAATGATGATGAATATGATATGATGATGATGACGATGTTGTTGTAATGATGATGATGAATATGATTATGATGATAAATATCTACAAAGTAAACAATTTACACTGAACGAAGAAATAGGATGACCCAAGAAATAGGATGACCCAAGAAAGGTAAAAGATCTTTTCCGTTAGAGTCCTTTCATTTTAAAAACAAAACCCAAAAGTAAAAAAAAATCAGCAAGATAAAAAAAAAAAAAAAAACTGCAAAAGACGAATAAAATTTATTAAACATTGACGATAAAATACATTGCAATGAAGTGTAAAAATTCAATTTAAAACATTAAAAAGTTTGACAGTTTAAAGTTTCAATTTATTAAGATTTAAATAAATGATAAAATTTTACTATAAAAACATTTTAAGCAAATACATTTTGGATTATTAAAATGTTCCTGAATAATACGTTTAAAATTAATAACAGCACTTAATTCTTGTTATGTTATCCTCGTTCAACCTGAAATCCTATAGATTGTTTTAATCTCTGCAAATTTTTCTAGAATTAAGTCCTCTAAATTGTTCGATAGTTCGATTCAGATTAGTCTGGTCATTATCACTCAGAAATAAGCGCGAGACAACACTAAATTAAGATCCAGTTTGCACCGGATAAATTGCATGGATGTCATAAATTCATTGTCCTGGCTGTCGGCATTAACTTAAATGCGTTATATTTTATGTGTAAATTGTCATCATAAAGAAGAGTTATATATTCTTTATTGCAAGTGCAGTGAGTATAATTAGTGATATTTATAGACGACTCAGTAGATGTGCTCGTAACATATGTTTTTGTCTTGCCATTAATGGCTTACACTGAGTGATATTTGAAATATACTTTTTTGATAATTAAATAAATGAATAAAGTATAAACATACCTTACGTAGACACACCAAATAAAATAGTGAATAGTTAGTGGCGGATCTAGGAATTTGAAATAGGAAGGAGGCTGAGGGAGGGACGTTCACAGGTGGAGGGTCAGCCCCACCAACCACCAATATATGATTATGGCACCTCTAGATGGCCGGAAATGGCACTCTCATACAGTAATTTAACATTTGAATATACTTTTCATTTTCGCTCAATTTTTTGTTTTATTTAGAACGAATTCGGGGACCTCAGGCATCAGTATTATGATACCGGTACATCTTGAATTCGAAGAAATTTAACCCTATTAATACTAGCGAAGCTCTTCCTTACCAGGATAAACCAAGCATGTTTATTTTGCATCCTTTATTAAGGGGTAAGTGGGGCATCTAGGGTGGTTCCCCTGCCCACCCCCTTTTAAGTTCCTGCACCTATTGAAAATGTTCGAAGCAAACAAAATCAAGCTCAAGTATTTAAAAAATCACCTCATATAATCTTATTTTTCAAGCTAGCATCCCTTCACTTAATCATCGAACTCAACTTCAACTTCGCACCCCCGCCCCACCATTAGTCACCATTTCTACTGTAGATACGCTACTGCTCTGTCATAACATGGAGAAAATGCATGGTCATAAGATGTTTACTGAGCACTGGTGCTAAAGTGGCAAAAAAACGTAGTGTAAAGCAGAGCGTGCAGAGTAATTTTCGGATTACAACATTTGACATTCCTGTACAAATCCAAGCCTAGTATAGAATTAACTTTGTTAATAACAGAATTAGTTATAAGATTATGATGTTGAACATCTGATCATCATGATGTTGAACATCATAATGTTAGACATCATGGTGCTCAATGTGAACTATCAGCTTCAGTGTTCACTAACCATCTACAATTCAAGGTCAAGATAATTGATTGAAGTAGATCTTTTGATGGTATGAACACAAGAAGTGACATGAACGTTAGAAGCAGATTTATTGCAATCCGTCTTGTCAAAGTTTAAAGAGAGCTTGTTATCAGTATCAGTAAATAGATCATATTATATCATTTACAAAACCAACATAAATATAGCAAAATACAAAGAATAACCTCCCCCCCACC